TATGTATATTTTTATTTTTTATTTTATTTGTTCATTTTTTATACTTAGGAGTATGTATGTCTACTTGGAATTTATTCCTTGGGGTATCAATATGTCTATTTCATTGTGTACCAATAAAATTAGGTGCAAAGTCTTCCCTCCTAGCTTGACTTTCTGGAAATGGTTTACCTTCATGACAGCTTCTTGAATTGGAACCTGTTATGCTTGTATACCAGAGGTGCATCTGGAGAAGCCTAGCAACTGGGCTTCCAACGGGGTTAAAGAGTTGCATCATGATATACTTGTAGTTTATGAGAATTTCTTTAAGGAATAGTTTATGAGATTATCTTGGGCACCCTAAGTGCCTTTAGGAGGAATTAAGGTGGGTGTAGAGGTCCTTTCAAGGGAATATAGATAGATTATTCATTTCAAATGCTATAATTGTTTTTTGAACTTAGCATCATGACATGCTTGTAGTTTATGGGAATTTATTCAAGGAATAGTTTATGAGATTATTTTGGGCACCCTAAGTGCCTTTAGGGGGAATTAAGGTGGGTGTGAGGTCCTTTCAAGGGAATATAGTTATATATTCACAGATTATTTATTTCAAATGCTACAAATTTTTTTTGAACTTATTTCAAATGTTACAATTGTTTTTAAATCATAAGTATGATGCTATGCATTATCAATACAAGCAAAAAATTAATACTTCAAGTGGAAATATGATCATATATATTTGCTTCTTTCAATTATTTTCTGTATTTTGACTCGAGATGGTTTCCTCTTGCAGGTGACCCCAGCTGGATTTGCGCAGATGGCACATATGTTGAATGGTCTCTCAGAGCGAAGATTGCTTGTTGTTCTTGAAGGAGGGTTCGCACTGCACCCTAAAAGTTCTATTAGTAGGGTTGTGTTGGAATAACCAAATAAGATTTTCAATTGACAGGTTTTGTACTAATTTTCTGCAGCTATAATCTGCGCTCAATATCATCATCTTCAATGGCAGTAATCAAGGTATATATTGCCAACATTCCAGTAAATGTGCATCTCCATTCCTTTAGATTGCTGATATCATATTGCTATTCTTTTTATTGACCTGCATACTTTCTGTCAAACACGGAACTTCTCATCTATCATGTACAGTCACTCATCTATCATGTACACTCAATGTGAAATTGTGGCGACTAATGATGTGACAAGTAATAGATGCAACTTTCAGATGAAAAAGAGAAAAAATTAAATGAATTGAATAATTTGGGATAGTTGTTTATATTTTTAAAATTCTGCAAAAGTGAGCATTAACTCAGAATGTTCATTTGCTTCCCCCTTTTGTTTGAAAGATAATGCATTGTATGTCATGAATTCATTCATGATCTTTGCATAAATCCAAGTATGTGGTCTCCTAGTCTTGGTTCTCTCTGACTTTGGAAATGTAGTATGCTTCTCTTTTTGGGTTTAAGAAGCTCTTTGCTGTTCACTGGCATATCCTACCATAAGATGTTATTAGTTTTGATTTTGTTAGAAGTTAAATGGAATGAATTTCGTGCATTGATTGGTACCATCTTTAAAATTTTACCCATCATGGTCTTGCCTTTATTGTCTACATTCAAAGCAAAACATGTGCAAAAGGCTTGATTTCCATGTTGAGCTGGGGCCTGTGGAGTCTAGTTAGTTTGAGACCCAGCTGGCTGATTGGTACATGTAAGCAGATAGGTCCATGGTAACATGTATTGGTGACTATTCTCTGTTGTTTCCTTGGTCGCATTCACAATTGAAAGAGGTGCACCCCAGATATTCTCGTCTGGATTCAGAATAGTCGGACTCTGGAGTCAAGTTAGGCATAAATCATGTGCTTGTTACATAATCTTATCGGTGCATTGCTTGGTAATCTCTCTCTATCCTTGAAGGTTCTGCTTGGGGAGCATCCTGGATGTGAAATGGATAGTGTCGTTCCTTCCAAGGCGGGCTTGAAAACCATTTTGGAGGTTATGGAAATTCAGCTGAAGTTCTGGCCTACCTTAGAAGCAAGTTACATGAGGTTGAGGTCCCAATGGGAGGTCTCTTGTCTCCAAAATAAAGGTGAGTGCCAAAATATGATGTTACTTTGCACTGGCCTGCTTTCTTTGCATTTGTTTGTCCTGCGCATATTTGATGAAATACCATCTTTTTGATCAAGTTGGCATGTCTACAACAGTTTCACTGTTATGAATAGTAATCTTACGATGCATTTCTTTGAAAACAAAGTCCGATGTCAGATGCACTGTCACTTTACTAGTAGATGATGGGCATTACATGAAAGACAATCTCCTCCATGTGCATTTCTTTTTCCTGTGTCTTTTGCTAATAACAGATTCCTTGGGAGAACGCTGATGATACTGATAATTATATGCTCCATTATTAATTAAGTTCCTAAACTTACTGGACAATGTTGGCATGCTGTGTGCAATTCTTATTACTTTTTGTGTTATTTTTGTTTTTAATTTTTTTGTTCCTGGAAGTGACTGTCTTATATTTGCTTCACTCTACCTATCAAAAATTGGAAAAGAAAATGACTTGTCTAGATGGGATTTTTAACAGGTCACTTTCTTTGGTATTCCAGGAAAGCTGGTGAAGAGAAAACGGTGCATTGTGGGAGGGCCGATATGGTGGAAATGGGGACGCAAGAGGGTCATGTATGAACTGTTGTTGGGCAGACGTGTGGTAAAAAACAAAGGGTCCTCCAAGAAGGCTCTGAGGATTTAGTTGCAATCTCAAAATACTTTTGGGTTTTGCTTTGTTTTGTGACTTTTGATTAGAGGGAGAATGGTAACCAATTTCACCTTACCTTATTTTATTAAGTTCTAGCTGCAGTTTGGCCTGACAAGGGCCTCTTATGGGGCTCCACGTCCTTGTGTAACTCTCGCGCACTGGTCTGTTCTTCCATCTGGATTTTGTCACAAGCTAATGGCCATTTACCCCCCTATCCGGTGGTAATAGTTCATGGAAATTTTGCGTTTGTGACACGTCACAAGAGAGGAATCATTTATAGTAAGCTGAATGTGTTACTCAGTGGAGTGTGTGCCTGTACACAATTGAAATGATTTGAATTATTAGCTTAATGATGTAAATTAATATCAATATCAGGATACAACGAGCCAGCTCAAGCCATTCATTATTTTGGATTGACTCTTGAATGTTTTCTAAAGCATTTGTCACTCAAGACTGTTTCTAGGCAGAGTATCATTTCTAACTTCGAAGATCTCGAGTCAGGGTAATCAATCAATCTCTTTCTTGGGAGTTTGTTTTGAATTAGGTTTAAAAAAAAGGTGTTTGTTGAGCTCTTAGGAAACGAAATTACAAGTAAAAAGAGCAAACAAGAAGAACAATTGGATAGCAATTAGAAAGATTTAAAGAAACTCTTTATCGATTTCTGTAACCTATATAAAAACGATGAAAAGCGAACAAGGCAAACCAGCTTCGAGGGAGGCTTGGATCCATTGAGGTGAGTGGAATTCACTTTTTATGTCCTCACAACTCCAAAAAACTACACGAATCACGGTACATGGATTGGAGAACCGTAAAATCTCTCAAATCTTAAGCAAGTGCACGCACCAGCCGCCACTAGCATTGTCATCATCAACAAACTCAAATCACACTGAGGTTTGTGTCTATGTCAAAAGTATATCCCCTCTTTCTAAGGTAAGATTCTGGGGATTATTTGTAAGAGAGATTTCGAGAAAGCTTATGGTAAGGTTGATAGGCAAGTTCTTCATGAGATTATGGGCAAAATGGGCTTTTGATCTAGATGGAGGTTATGGATACAAGGTTGTTTCTCATCTTACTCACTTTTTTTTAATTTTTTTCGGCAAATGTTATCAAATTTTATTGTTAAAGATGGTTACAAAAGATTAACATCAACACATAAGATAAACTCCCGCTATACTCCTTTAGCAGGCCCCTCAGTCACGGAGTTGTCCTCCCTTAAGATGTGAAAAGATAGCATCAAACTTCCCACCAAATCTAATATCTGGCACCAGATAGAACGGTACTCCCACGGGATTCGTTGCTCATTCCTGCACCATCTCACCACATTCATCAAATCCCCTTCCACCATACAATGCGTGCCAAGATTCTTATCAACAAAAAATCGGAGTCCATGAATTCGGCAAGGTTAGCAATTGCCACACCAATCGGACCTGCATAACAAAAAATCACTGCACCATTCCAATCCCGCACCACACCTCCTATACCTGCAACACCAAGGTTACCCATTGAGCTGCCATCAAAATTCAATTTGAAGCAACCCTGACCCAGTAGAATCCAACGGCCAACTGGCCTATACTTAGCAACATTGGAAAAAAATAAGTTAGCAAGATTTAGTCTCACATCCACCCCGGTAATACCATGTCCCTCTTTAGTGATATAAAGCCAGCTCCAACAGCTATGAATGATATTACAAAACATAATTTTTGTGGGTAACACCTTCCCGTCAAACACTCTTCTATTGCGCTCCTTCCATACTTCCCACAATACTGCCCCTTGATAATCTTCCATATAATCTTTCCTAATTTTGGTAAAAGGGGAAAGGACAGCTGTGTGATAACACACCCAAACAATCTTGAGGAAGAGCAACACTAAAGTCTAATCGTCTCAAAAAGAATTCCCACAACTTCGTAAAAAAGGTGCAATGAACAAAAATATGTGCTACCGACTCCCCATCCTACTTGCACATCAAACAGATATTTGGTAGAACTTTTCCCCCATTTTCTTAAATGATCAATCGTTAGAATCTTATTATGTCCAACTAGCCATATAAAACACTGGACCTTATGTGGAATTGGCCACTTCCAGACTTTTGCAATCTGAGCAACGTAGGATGCCAATGATCATTGAACAAAAAGGAGTACATAGCTTTTATCGAAAAAAAGGCCATCCCTTTCTAGATCCCACACCAACTCATCATCTATATCTCATGCAATATACACGTCTTCTAGCTTAGTCAAAAGAGAAATCAGCTGGGAAAGCACATTATCTTGGACTCTATTGTAAGTTAAATGTACATTCCAGTGCAATTGTTGGCCCACTCGCTCATAGGTATCCGCCACTTTAGCTTGAGGGGAGACCTTAGAGAAAAGATCGGGGAATGTATACTTCAGAGGACCATCCCCAACCACTTATGGTGCCAAAAGGAGATAGAGGAACCACTACCCATGCACCACCTCACGTTGCTACGAAGATATGGCCTCTATAAGAAAATGTCCTTCCATAAAATGGATCTAGATGCGCTATCTCTCCCCCCTCCTAACCATATGCCAAATCTGTCTATTCCATACTTAGCCAAACAACTTACACCATAAGTGATCTTTAAAGAATAAGCTGTGCCCCCACCTGCACAGTAAGACCTTATTCATTATTGAGATTTTCCTGATACCCATGCTCCCATATTCTTTTGGCATGCACACTCTATCCCATCTCAAAAGATGCACACTCTATCCCATCTCAAAAGATGAAACTTTTTATCATCTACATTAGATCCCCATAGAAAATCCCTCATCATTTTCTCTTGTCTCTTAATAACACCATTCGGCATTTTTAAAAGAGACATTTGGTAAACTGGAAGATTAGCCATACACGACCTCAACAAAGTAACCCCACCACCCAAGGATAGGTACTTCAGCTTCCATAAATCAGGTTTTCTTTGAACCAGCTGGATGACCCTGTCCCAAGCCGAAATTGACAATCAAGTATCTGAAATGGGCATACCCAAATATGTGATAGGAAAATAATCCACCTTACATCCATGAGACTCAACCAATTCAGTAACCAGCTGATCATCACAATTTATGTTTATCAGAGAGGTTTTTGTAAAATTAACCTTCAATCCCATTGTCACCTCACAACAAGTCAGGAAACGCCCAATTTTTTGAATCTGATCCTTATCCGCCACACAGAAGGATAAGGGTGTCATCCGCCTATTGAAGATGAGTTATAATTGGTCCTTCCTGAGCGATCCTAAAACCATGAAAATTTCATTTATTCACCACATTGCACATCATCAGACTAAAGCATTCAACATACAATGTGAACAAAAAGGTGATAAAGGGTCTCCTTGCCTTAGCCCTCTCGATGCTTTAAAGAAGCCTTTAGGACTGCCATTGATCAAAACTGAGAATTGAATCGAGAGACACCCAAAAATCCACTTTCTCCATTTTTCTCCAAACCCCATTCTCTTCATAATCTCCAACAGGATACTCCACTCTACCTTGTCATAGGCTTTTTCCATATCTAACTTTATAACCACCTCTAGCTCCCCACTCTTGATTCTAGAGTGAATGCACTCCTGAGCAACCAATACACTATCAGTTATTGTCCGGTTTTAAACAAACGCTGCTTGGGGGACCTGATATAACAAACTCCAATACCCCCTTGAGCCTCTCCGCTAGAAATAACAATTCACCATGTACCATAAAACTTTTGAACATCTCTAAAAGTTCCCTTGAAAGCATATTCCAAATTTTTTGAAAAAAACACATGGGAGAGCCATCCTGGCCATGTGCTTTGTCCCCTGCTAAAGCAAAGACTACCCTTTTTAGTTCCTCCATGGACACAATTTCTTCTAGCTTAGTCATGAGATTCAAAGAAAGCACCCTAAAAGGAATGGGGTCTATGCTAGGGGTAAATAAAACTTCAAAGGTAAATGCTTTCTGAAAATGATCAATAATAGACTGATCAATTCCATCTCTATCATTTGCCTCAATTCCATGAATTGTCAGGCCAGTGATATAGCAATGACATAGAAGAACTTGATGTTCAAATCCCCCTCTTTCAGTCACTTCACTCTAGAACGTTATTGCCAATACACGTCTTCAAGTCAGCGACATTCATTCAGAGCAGATAACTTCTCCTTTTTAGTCATTAAGACAACATCTGAGACAACTCCATCCTCCTGGATAGCCTGATCTAAGATCTGAATATCCTCTAAACAACTCTTAATTTTTCCTTTTAACTGATATTTGTTCGACCTTTTCCCCTCAATCAGCTTATGCTTAACATTAAGAAGTTTTTTGTGATAGCTGAAAATCTAATGAACTAAAGGTAATAGTGTTTTCCCAAGTGCTTCTAATCAATTTAACTACCCCATCCTCTTCTAACCAACTAATATCCAGTCTAAAAGGTTTAGGCCCTCCTAAAGAGTTACTCGAACATAATAGAAGAGGGCAATGATCTGAGGACAATCTCGGCAATGCTTTAACTGAAGATAGTGGGAAAAATTCCAGCTAATCATTAGACACTAAGAATCTATCAATTTTTGTCATGATCAAATCAATAACAAAATTATTCATCCAAGTATACAACACTCCCAACATTGGCATATCAAATAATCTATTACTTTCAATAAATCTGTTGAAGAGCCTCATGGAAGAGTTGATTGAACATCTAGTGGATGAGTCCTCTGGTCATCGAATTAAGTTAAAATCATCTCCAATACATAAAAGAATATCATACAATGAAAGAACACCAGAGAGATCATTAAGACAATCTTACTTTAAAGACATCAAATTAAGTCCATACACATTCAGCAACCCCAAGAGAAACCCAAAGAGGACCATTAAACAAAATTCCCAAAAATCTATCACCCTTAATAGCCTCATAACTTTGCAAAATATGAGGGTTCCATAGCACCCCATAAACCACTTGACGCCCCCACAGAGTCAACACCGTCAAAACAAATCGCTCTAGTCCCCCAAACTTCCCCAGCCCCAGTAACAACATGGCAAGGAAGCTTGCTTTCTTGCAAAATTAAAATATCAGGATTAAACTTCCTAATTAAAAACAAAAATCCATTTTCCTACTAGAATCCCCTAAACCCCTTACATTCTAGTTTAGAATAATCATTAAGAAAGAGATGAAGTCGATCCGGGACCATCGAGGGGTGGTCCAAAGTAATGTTGGTCCAGCATCATAGCAATCTCCAATGAGGAAGAACTGGAAGAAGAGGTTGAAGTAAGAATCCGTTTCACCACTGCTAATCTCCATTGGAATAGAGTCAATCACTTGAGGAGGATTGATGACCACTCCGGGGCTCCTAGAGGCCAAATGGGCTGAGGAACGACTAGGAACAGATGCTTTGCCTTTGACTTTCTTAGACCCTGAGAGCAATGGCCTCTTCTCAGG